TGAAACCCTCACATAAAGGAGATAATTCTCGAAAACAAAGTGCATAAAAGAAAATGCATCCGAGACCACATACAGAAAAATGTGAACAGAAAAACATGCGCAAAATCCTTAAAAGAATATAAGGGTTAAAAAACTTGCACGGATATTCAAGTAAAAGTAAGACTCAAACAAAATATTTGAGCAAAAATATGTCTTCATTTACAAGAACGTGCCAAAAGAAATACAAAACAAGAAAAGATAAGTAAAGCTAAACTGCAGTGCCTCAGGGCCCAGGAGAAAGAGAAGTGTCCACATCCCCGGGAATGGTAGACGGTTGCACCGATGCCTCGAGATTTTCCCCAGTCTGATCTTCAACATCGTGGCCCTCCGATTCTTCTTCAGTTCCCGAAAATTTGAAACTAGAACCAGATGGGCCCGATACATCGGACCTCAATGGAAGGCCAGTCCTAGCGACTAACACAAGCTCGCGTGCCTTAGCAATTTTGGCATCAATATCAATGACACCATCTTTGGATTCTTCCTAGGTTTTTCTCCTCATACTGTACATGGCGTGAGATCTTTCAACAACGAGGGAAGTCTCTCGGTGCTTGAGTTCTTCTTTGAGTTGGGTTATCTTGGCAGAAAGATTTTCCCAGGTGGACCTAACAGACTTAAGGATGACGTCAAGCTCGCGGACAGTTGAACTAAAGAGCATGTTATGCTCGATAGTTTTCCTGTACTTCTCTTCTAGCTGGGCATGTTTCACCCCCGCGGCAGCAAGCTTTTTGACTTTGGAATTCAAGGCTGCTTCTAAGTTAGTTACCCTTTCAGAAGCAGCAGTCTCACGCTCGCTTGCAACAAGAATGGTGTCCTGGACTTCATCTCATTTAGCCTTGGCTTTATCAAATCTAACCCCCAACGAGTCTACTTTTTGGTTGAGAGTTATCACTTCTTGCTCGCTTTGCTGCAAATGAGCTTCCAAAATGTCGTCCTTGGTGGCTCTGGTTTCCAGTTCTGAGAGACGGAGAATGGTTTGGTCGCTTTCCCCCAAAACCTGATCCCGTTCAGAAGTAAGTCCTTCCTTTTCATGAATTAACCTTTGAAGGCCCTCAGAAGCAAGAAAATTGGCCTGCAAAACAAGAAGGGGCAAAACTTAAAATACATTCATTCAAAAGTAGGAGAAATAACAGAGGAAGAAAGAAACGTACCGCCGCGGTGTCATGCATAACATTGTTCAACAAACACTCTCCCGAGAGTGTCCGAATCTTTTCCCAATCCTTCTCTGAAGCCAAGGGCTTCAGATAGTTAGCAAGCTCCACCGGCCGGGAAAGAAGATTGCACATGGTAGAGACCTAAAGAGTAACATTCCTCCTCCTCTGAGGATCTTTAGAAGGAGCAGCATAATTTTGCCCCAAATTCCCATAAACTAGGGACTGTGAAAGATGAACGCCTTCTTCATTGTCAGGTGCGGCCGCTGGAGGTGATATTGCTAGTGGAAAAGTGGAAGAAGATGGAAGTGATGTAGGATTTGTTGGTATTGGAGAAAGTGGTGATGAAGTTGATGGGGTAGTAGAATGAGAAACAACCATGTCAAAAGCAGCACTGGATGTTGGGTACTCGCCAACCGAAGACGGCAATGACCCGGTACTCTGCCTCTCAGTACTGGGCATAACAGTTGGGGCCCGAGGACGGGAGTTGGCATTATCTACCAAATCAAATTCTCCCAAAGTGTCGAGACATCATCCTCGGTTGGTATGATTATCTCAACATGTTGAGCATCCTGTTGAGATAATAAAGATCGTCGCCTTCAATGAAGAGAAGCTCCCTCATCACTAGCTTCTTCATCATCATCAATCATCAATCATCACAGTGTCTATGACTAGCCCGGAAGGAGTACCGGGCGTCATCGCCACCGGAGATAGCTCGGGGACAGCAGTCTTCGCCTGCTTATTTTTCTCCCCGCCACGTAGGAACGTCTTCTCTATGGTTTCTTATCTTCTGGCCGAGGACTCCATGAAGATGTGGCCGCACCCGAAACAGGACCGGAGATGCCTGTTCGAGTGAGAGCTTCTTGAAGCAGCCTCACTGCATCAGCGAGATCAGCCAAAATTTCCTCCTCGGGGACAACAACATAGCCCACAGGTAGACCTAATTTCATAAATAAGTCAGAAGGTTTCAATCGATATGCAAAGCAGAGAAAGATGGAAGCGAGGTAGGTTCAAATTACCATGATTTTTGGCCTTCCACCCATATTTCGGGGTTATCTCTTTCCAGAAGCGAGTTTCGCGCGTTGTGACGTCCAAAATTTTCTGAACCCACCGGTATAAGCCTTTCGCCACTAGCGGGACCCATCGAGTTGCTGAAACATATGAAGAATAAAAACACGGCCATAGAAAAATATTTAATGAATGAAGAAATATTAGAGATCTTACGAGCACGGTTCCAAGCGTCCGGAAAGGATGAAGCCATTGTTGGAATGATACTGCTAGTGGCAACCGCGGCAAACCATTCCGTCCACTCACGGTCACTATCATCATCCATGCTAGTCAACAAAGCATGGTGTCCTCGTTTACAGATATTTATCATACCCTCCCTCCCCCCGGAACATCTTGGGGGAGTAGAGATTCATCACGTGAGCTAATGTTAGCTCTTCTTTAGTTTCTTGGCATAAGCGTCGAAGCCAGGCAACCGTCCTCCACACAAAAGGACTTACCTGTGCCAAACACACTTGATAGCAGAGGCAAAATTCCACAATCATGGAATCAAGCTCTCCACTAAAATAAAAAGCACCCAATGTAAAGGGATACATGTAAAAGTATGTAAAACCTTCCTTGGGAAGGGCCACTCACTCCGATAGATCGGGAGTGGTGATATCCAATTCATGGCAACAAAAATCTTCCTTCACAACGGGAATACTGAAAAGACGAATGGAAGAAGGGTACCTGCTAACAACCCATGTATGAGGGGTAGAAGAAGAGAATTTCTCCTCAAGATCCTTTGCGGTATTGAGTCTTTTTGGTATGATGGAGTCTACGGTTGGAACGACAAAGTCGTCGGTTTTATTTTTGCCTTTTGAAGAACCAGTACGTTTTGAGGAGGAAGCCATCAAAAAGAGAAAGGATTTTTGTTTGAAGAAGATGAAGATTCAGTAGGCGAAATAAGATTAAGGAAGTTGAAATATAAGGGGGGGGGGGGGAGTTGATACGTATAAGTAAAGTTTTGGCGGCTAAATCCTTGGCTAAGATTACCTCGATAACCGAAAAAAGGCATGCTAAATCATGGGAAGACGCGTGTTCGGGGCATTAAATGTGGAGAGACAGACGTCTAATCAACCGTCAGTGGCCTTCAAAAGGAATTATAGTAATTCCCGCCAAAAGAGTATTTCTACCATTTTTCCGGTAACACAGAGTTATGTTACCGAAAAGTAGTAGGACTATCTGTATTAGGTAAAATACTCTATGGCACGTGGCCACCCAAGAAGGGAACACGCGGAACCTAAGCCGGGAGGACTAAAAACCGGACGCAGATATCCCGTGTGTCACCGGAAAAGATAACATTCGTGAAGGCATTGAATACTCTACGCCCAGTAGTATTCAATGAGGGATATTCCATAGCATTAAAGAGCAACGACCTGTTACAGAGAATTTGGCATTAATGTTCACCGTTACATCTTCATCAATGCTCATCATAATTGATATTAAAGAAGGGCATGACCCCAGTACCTTCTTCATAACTATAAATAATAAGCTCAATGATCATTGTAAGGGACACGGATTTTCTGGCTAACTTATACTACATTCTATACAGAATTTTAATACCATTTCGCTCTCTCGCTTTTTGGTCTCATCATTATTGTGCCCGAAAACCCTGTTCCCGGGCTCGTCAGTTCTGCCATTTCATCTACATTCTAAAGCTAAGTATTTTATATTTCATCAATTATTTCGTTACTTTTTGGATCGAATTAATTCACTTGTTTAGAAACCGAAACAAATTCAACTGTACCGTTTTACGAGTAAATAATTAAATTCCTTAATTATTGGAAGGTCGTAAATGCGCCATTTCTTCATAAAAGCCAAATAAAGTAATGCCTTATGATGTTAGAGAAAAATACTGTGACGCCCATGACGGAGGAAGGGCCGACGAGGGTGAGTCAAGCAAGACTACTAGATAGACTTCTAGGTTGGCAAACTTTCGAAAAAGAAGTATACATATCATCTTAGGTGAATCCCACGTCGGAATGAGAGAGTAAAGTGAAGTGTGAATAAAGTTCTACATTTCAAAACCTCGTGGTCTAGATGAAAATTTTCTAGTTTAAGTCTAACATGTGAGTTATGAGCTAATGTATGAGAAAATATATCTTTTAATTTTTCAAACCTTTTTGCCTATTCTTTCAAAGCAAACGCAAATGGTTGGGACTAGAAAAACAAAAATAAGAAGAATCGTATGGAGAGACAGGTAGGTCGTGAACTTAGAATGGGCTTAAACCCATTTAAGAGCTGAAGCACTATGGATGCTTTATGACAATGAAAATGACACCAGAAAATAATTTTTAAGGATGTTGTTTAAAATATATCCACAGTTTATAATATATTAAAAAGTTAACCAATTCGGATACGGTGTCTTGAAGTTTAAACCTCAAAGTTCAAACTTCAGGATACGATATCCCAAAGTTCGAAAATTGTGTCCAAAACTTCGAATCTTGTATCCTGAATTTTAAATTAGGAATTCAAAAATTTAGGACACTTAGTCTTGAATTTCTATCAAGACTAAGTGTCCTGAATTTCAAATTAGCAGCTCAAAAATTTAGGACACTAAGTCCTGAATTTTAAATTAGCATCTCAAAAATTCAGGATTCTTAGTCCTAAAGTTTGGGTGAATATGCTAATCTTTAAATACATTGTAAGGTGTGGATATATTTTAAATTGCAGACTTTAAACCGTCTACTGTGCATTTATTACTAAGGTCAGCCCAATAAAAATAGTGGCCCAATATATTTAGCCTCTTTGCCCAGAAGAATTTCAACTAACCATATTGACCTCCGGATAGCGGTTTTGTGTGAAGCAGAGATTTTCTATTAAGCGGAAACCATGGCGGTTATTCCAACGGTCACCGTGACATCAACCGGCGCACGTTTACTATCTCTCCCGCGCACGTTATCCACCGCCGCTATAACTGCTTCTTCTTCTCTGTCCTCGCTCTGCTACTTGAATCAGGGCTATTATCCTCTGCAACGCCGGAGAATTCTGCCGGCGAGGAAGCTAGCGATACGAGCTGCAAGAACAGAGTCCAAAGGCGTCTCTCTTGGTTTCAGAGCTCCCAATTTTGAGGTACTTTTGTTTTTATTAAGTAATGTTGGCAGTTGGTTGCTTATTAACGTATGCAATAATGCAAACAAAGATTTTTTGTTTTAATGGGAGTAATGTATCAGCTTACGGAGCCGCTCACTGGAAAAGTTTGGAAGCTTGATGATTTTGAGCCATATCCTGCATTGCTGGTAAAAGGAAACAATATTATTACTATTATTTTCGTGAAATGATAAAATTGTACTGTTATTATTATGTGATCTATTATATACATACATAGTCCAAATTTTTTCTAGAAATGTACATGGTGCGAGTGGAGCGTAGTAGGTTCGGTTAAATGCACAATGAGGGGATAGATCGTCATCTATAGCTACTTCTTCTGTCCCACTTTATGTGGATTAATTCGACTTTTCGGATAAATTTAAAAATTCTAAAGTGATATTTGACCTCAATTCTTCCAGGTCATAGAGTGTTGGGGCTGCGAACAAAGTCCCATATTGGTACCTGAAAAAGGTAGGAATCCTACATATAAGGTGTAAGGATCTCTTAATGGTGTGATGCCTTTTAAGGGCATACGTGCGGGATTGACCCAAAGCGGACAATATCAACTATGTTAAGAGTATCTTCGAGCTGACTAAGCCTAACAAAGACAAAATAATTTTAGGTGTTTGTTAAACTGGCATGGAGACACATTTAAATAATTGAATCCATTGGTATGAGCGTTGTGTGGGTTAGGTGCGCCCTACTGCACACAAAAGCATGGTATTTTGAGTGGAGAAGTGTAGAGGGCGAGCCTCTAGCACTAGGGAATTTCTCGGTTATAAAATAAAAATTGAATCCAAAAGGCTAAATAGATTAATAATAATTCAATTTTCTAATTCATAATTGAATGTAAATACTCAAGACAGTGAAATTGAGATACAGAAAGTATTATTATAATTCTTTTCTTGATTTTCTTCATGTTTAGAATTGTTTGCATAAATGAGTGTATTTTGTTTACTATAATTTGTTTACAGACTCTGGAAGAATGTGTTCGATTGTGAATTATGAATTTAATTTGCTAAGTGAGAGAATCTTTATGATACATAAAGGATGACTTTTTCACTGAACTGCAAAAGGAGGTAGTGTGTGTGCAAAAGAATTTGCTATACTTAGATTCGTTATGTATATATGTATGTAATGAGTTCAAGAAATACAGATATATCTGTGTCGTCAAAAAGCAAGACTTGCTCCAAAAATTTTCAATTTCGAATGCATCAAAAGTTATCAATAGACAGAATTTATGCTTTCCCCTCAAAACACCTATTAGTTCTTTCCATCCATATTATCCAAATATACACAGAGAAATGATCTTCCAGAGTTGTTTCTGCTTTTTCTGCCCTGCCAATTGGGCACAGATTGCTTCTTTCCCATTATTTACCTAATGCATACCACGCAGGCTAGAAAACGTCCACCATGTCTGCCAAATGTATTTACAGTATAGTATAGTGTCTCTAACTGATTCTGCTTCTTCCTTGGAAAAACTAGTCCATGCTACCTATAAATCTCTTATTTTTTAGTTGTCACCTGTCAAGCATCCCTCTTATAGCTCTGTCCATCCATAGCATGCCACTCTGGTTGGGGAATTTATTCTCAAGATCATTTTCTGTTGCTAATCTACAGTCTCTCTTGCCCCTTTTATCGATAAGTAGTCGCAACATGATTTCACATAGTATTTTCCACCATTCTTTACTTTCCATACAAAAGAAGCTTTTTGAGCTTCATCCAGGTTTACTCCTAGTATCCCAGCGGCGGACTCGGGATTTCTAAGTCGGGGGTGCTCAACTGCCTTAAATCTTGAAGTGCTACTTTGAGATTGGATGTGCAGCTAATATATTTATATGTTACTATTAGTTATAAAAATATAGTATTTGGGTAAAGGACAATGGGGTGCTTGAGTACCCAATAGCTACATTGTAGGTCCGCAATTGAGTATACCCAGTAACGAGTTTACTCCAGGTTTTCGTGTGCGATATACATGCTGCACATTTATTGATGGCTACTCCGTTGACTTTAGTGTGGTGTATTTATTAGGTGTTCTCGAGTTATTGGCTTTACGAATAATGTCCATCTGAGTGAGCTTGTTTTCTTGACCTTCATCCATGTCATCATTAATTTCATGTGGTCAACCTGTAAAATGAACTGAATTCTGTAGGCCATAAAACATGTTCTCATTAGTCCTTAACTAAATAAAAATATCTGTTAGCCATACAATATATACTTCTGCCAGCACAAGGGTTTAACTTAAAATTAGAATTTTATTACGAGCTGAAGGTTGAAAAAAGAATTAAAGAGCCATGAATATCCTTTCCCTCTTCTATATTAACTTGTTTTAACTGTGATTCAACTCCAATAATGTAATTTCGCAGGTTATGTTCATCTGCAACCATTGTCCATTTGTCATACATTTGAAGAAGGATATTGTTAAACTTTCAAATTTCTACATGAAGGTAGGTGGTAATCTGATTCGGTTTCCCTTCTTTTCTAACTTCACGTATTACATGCACTCTCTGCTTTCTGTCAGCTCAGTAGTTGAAAAGAGCAGAATAACATCAAGAAGTTCATCTTTGCTGCAGAAAGGGCTTGCGGTGGTAGCAATATCTTCAAACTCTGTAGTTACACATCCACAGGTTCAGATGCTATATAACTTATGATCTCTTGGTTTTATGAGACCATTAAGGAATTGTTGTGAGTTTCTCCATCTTTCACAGGATGGACCTGAATTCATGGTAGAAGACGCTAAGCTCTTCAAATATCCTTTCCCTTATCTTTATGATGAGGTGTGCTTCTCTAATGAGTTCCTGATGATAGTTTTCAATATAATTGCTTGTATTGTATATATATCACTTTCATTTATCATCCCATTTCTTTTTTTCATTTTCTATGGAAATATTTTTGTTGCTGGATATCAATGTTTGGCTAGATTCACATGGTCACCAGGCCAGTCCGCTATTACCCCTTATTTCTCCACTATATTTTTCTACAAGACTGGTTTAGTTCTGTTGAGAATATCAACAACTCTAATTACTATTTATACTGGTTCTACCCCCACTGTCCAAATTGGTTGCTGAGAATTAGCATGTCTGGAAGCTTACTATTTCCCACGATGCTGCGGAGCCCTGATGAGGCTTAGGGCAATGCCCAAAAATATTTAACTCTTTTCACTGAAACTTACATTATCTTTTAGGGGATTGAGAAATTAAAAAAAGTATGAATGAAGTTGCTGCTGAGATATATCTGACCTGGAGCCTCTTAATTACTTCCATTTTAACTATACATTCCAGAAGTTTAGTTAGGTCAACCATGACACAAGAACAGGAGGTCATTTGGGTTCAGTTGGACCCAGTGATCGTATGCTGCTTACGCCTCTGACTCTACCTCTTTGGACTTGTTGTTCTCCCTTGAGGCTGCAATTGTCTAAACTAAGTCGTGGAAGTACAATTATGGAGTTATCACAGTTGGCAAGAAATCTTCTAAATCGCACTGATACTTTATACTCATTAACTGTTGTACAAAGATGAGGTGTGCAAAACACTACTTGACATGTATCCACTGCTTGTCTGTTTCTTATGTTTTTTATTTGAAAATTTTACAATCTGTTTCACATCGAACTTGTTCGAACTTCTTCAGCTTGATGTTTTTCTTGCAGTCACAAGAAGTTGCAAAAGACTTTGGGGCTGTTTGTACACCAGAATTTTTCCTGTTCAAAAAGGTAATGACTACTCGAGTTATATCTGAAAGCTTCAAGGTTAGCATGACACACCATACCCCTGTTTTGAAATTTAAACATACTTTTCTGTCTCTTGTTTCTTTCTTAAATATATGCATTATCTCCCTTATGGATGTATTTTACCCCCTTGTTTGAAATCCTCTCAACCACAGTTCATGGCTTTCTATCCCAGTTCTTACTGGGGGTATTGTAGTGTTTCACTCATTTCTTTCATCCCAAGTTAATACTACTAACATATTCTCGAAGCCTCTAAATAAGTGTTCTCAGAAGAGTTGTAAAGCAATGTTTCTTTTATTGTTTGGAATTATTTGTGTAGTTGAAGAATTTAATTTTGTGACAGGATGGCAGAAGGCCCTTTGAGCTAGTGTATCATGGCCAATTTGATGATTCAAGGCCAAGTAACAATGTGCCTATCACAGGAAGGTTAGTTACATTGTCTTTCAATTTTCTCTCAGGAATCTAGTGTACTATTGCAAATTCCTAATATAGTTGTTATGACACATCCCCTAGAGACTTGAGCCTAGCAATAGATTGCGTGCTTAGTGGCCAGCCAGTTTCATCCAATCAAAAACCCAGGTACTCTTATTTCCGTTTATATGCCCCCTTATTGTCTGCTTTTTCTGGTTTTACAAGAATTTGTGGTTTTCTTCAGTGCCGGCTTAACCATAAAGCAGCTAAAGCTGTTGCTTTAGGCCCCCAAATTTTGGGGCCCCATTTTCAATAATAATGGGTTTATATTTTATTTATGTTTTCGAAAATATTGAGTACTATTTAGAAGAAAATGAAAATTTTCTTATAAAAGAAAAGACAACATTTTAGCTGTGCGAATAAGTGACGGGTTAAACCTTTATATTCTTTCTTGGTTTATGCAAGAGCTACAATCTTTCAATTCACCTTTTCCATCAATTTACATACTTTGTCTTATATTCTTTCTTACTTTTTCTAAGATGAACTATTTGTTGTTCAAAACTTCCGATAATTTATGTTGCTTTTTAAAGACATAGTTAAAATTACTTTCCTTATACTAAATTGTGTCTCATTTTCTGTTCTTTCTCACGTTTAAAGCTTGCGAGAAATATTTGAAGCAGCATTACGAAATTTGGAATTAAGTCTTCATACTTCTTGAATCTAGTTCTTTCATTCTAACTTTTCAGTATTTTTTTTTATCTTAAATTTGTTATATTTGTTATTTTTACTTCATAGGTATATTTTTTAAATATTTATTAGAATTTGAATATGACAACTAGAAAATATAAATCTTGCTATTCTAAAAAAAAAAAAGGAGAAGAGTTGAAATATACAATCTAAAAAAGGAGATCTTGATAAACTTTTCACAAACAATAGAAAAACTAAATTCGAAACTATAGGGGAGTGTTTTTAGATGAACAAGTCACAAGCCTATTAGAAGAAATCGATTATAGAAAACTAATTAATAATTTTGCATCTCAAAAAGTTATAAAATATATCCTAAATAAAAATATGTATTAAAATTATTATTGAAGGGCCTCCAATTAAAATTTGGCTTTAGGCCCCAAGTGTTGTTGAGCCGCCTCTGGTTTTCTTCCCTTGAAAAGCCTAATGGGAATTGTTGAGGTTGGGATTTATGCTCTTAGGTTATGTACTGATCTCGGTTTTTGTACTTGCTACTAGCATTGGATGCAGCATAAAATGGCATCCAGGGGCAAAGCAGTAAGCACCATCTCCACTGTCTATAAGTTTTCAGCAACACATTTAAGTGCGTCAGATTATCCATGCAGCGGCTGATGAGCATTGAAGTGCTGGCACATTTGTGTTACTTTTTCCATGCCTCTTCTAGCATTGCGAGTTGAGCTTCGAGCTCAAAGATTTAATAAGGAGAACTGATCAATATATGCCAATGATCACACTCATGTATATATTGTTTCCTCGGTACTTCCTAGCAAAGCCCCTTTTTCTTACATTGCATAAGCTGTCCTTACTTTGGTAAAGGTTGAAATACTGATCTATAAGATGTAATGCTGGATTCTGGCATATGTTCCGTAAAGGAGCCAAAAATAGAAGAACTTGTTACCAAATTGAGTAATATGCTACCACATGCTAGTAGCTGATTGCCTAAAATATGAGCAAATTACTAACTTTGGTCCTCTTGTTACTGTAATCTGGAGTTATGTTCCTCCAAGAGTTTTGTAAATCGTTTTATGTATTTCATTGCTTCACAAATTTCACTTTCTCTGGTTGTAATGCTCTAATTTTCTGGTAGACCCTTGTATTTGCACACCTTTATCCTCTGTTCTTTTGATTTGTCTGTGTCTATCCCTCCGTGCACTTGTCTGGGGTTCGTCTAAAGCAAGCTCTGCTAGATTTGATTACTTTTGTTTAGCTTTTCCTTTCTTCTTTCTGTTGTGTTGAGAGCCGGGTGTGTGGCCAACTTACTTTCAGGTTTCACCACAATATGAAGGGACACCCGATTGTTAGCAATCTATCACTGAAACTTGACAGAAACTACAAAGCATTAAGGGGTCATTTGGTAGGATGTATTAGGGAAAATAATGTATGTATTAGCTTTGGTATTATTAATCTTTTGTTTGGTACACTTTTTCAACCAATGTATAATTAATAACTAATACAAGTATTAGTTATACACCCTATTTGATATTATCCTATATATAATTAATACATAGCAAATCATGGTATTATTATTGAATCCTTATTTAATAAATATAAGAAACAGCAGGCTCCAAGCTTTGTGATGTGATACTTTGAGATTTCCCTATGAGGATGGAATGCATAGTGATACCCTATCTTGAGAGTTGTTCGTGTTACTGATTTTTGAATTATTCTTTTTTGCTTTCCTTCATTCTTTGCACTTCCTCTACATCTAACACACTTGTTTTTTAGTGATCACTATAGATCCTTATATCTGCCAACCTTTGTCCTTTCTTCTTTGTGCACATGTAGCTTGTGTCTATCTTGCCTTCTATGAGCCAGTCGGGGGTTGAAAGCAAGTGGCGTACGGTTGATCACTTTTCTTGAGAATGAAAGCCAAGTTGTTGGATCAAATACCCTCCAATTTTTACTATGATAAGATGGATAACATCGTCCAAATTTACTTACTTTGTTATTGCACCATTTTCATGCATCAAGCACAAACCTAAATGTAAAATGTTGCTTTACTACTTTATGCTGGGAATAAGTAAATTAAATACCTAATGTTCTCAAAGAGGTTCTATAGAAAGTTGATACATAATAGTATATGTTTCCTCAGAATTTGAAGCTTGAAACCTACTTGTGGGCCTAAAAAGGTTTGCTATCACATGGCTAAAAAGCAATGTACCTTTCAAGAACATGGTGAGCTAATGCTTCTTCATCTTTTGTGAAAATGACTTTAAAAGAATTGGTAGGGAATGATGGTCCCTTCGTTTCCCCATAATTACATGTTTCTTTTTACATACAGCCAACCAAGCTTGATCTTGTCACAACCAGATCACCCCCACACAAACTACAAATTGGATTCAGAGTTACCAATTTTATCTGCAGGGCCCTAGTTTGGAAATGAAACTGCACTTGCTGCTTCCTTAGTACCTTCTATCATTGATATCTGTTTCCTAATCTTTAATCATCACATATTTATACTTCTCAGTTAATCAATCTTTTATTTTTTATAACAATCATGTTCAAGCCAGCTTGTCACCTTGGCTATTTCATGCTGTACCGGATAACTATGTCCACCAATCATTGGGCAAACGAGGAAAAACCAACAACAATAATAACAACAAACACAATGTAGTCTCACAAGTGAGGTTTGGGGAGTGTAGTGTGTATGCACACCTTACCCCTACCTTCAAGAAGGCAGAGAGGTTGTTTCCGGTAGACCCTCGGCTTAGTAAGCGAGGAAAAATCACCTAGTATTTTTTGTCTTTGCTAGGATTTGAACTCCGATTTACCATTATTTTCACCTATTTTAATGATGGTAGGCCACACACTTGGTGCCTCATTAAATCAATCGTCAAGCATTAGTATTGGTTTTTGTCATTTCAAGGAGGATCCTCCAAGGACTACTTATCGCAGAGGAAGATTGTTGTTGTACTTTTTACTCTCTTTATTTTCACTAATCATTATAAAGGTAAATTAGCCTTAAGATATTTGTTAGATCTAAGGACCGGATATGTTGCCCTCTTGTCTTTCATTTGTTTAATTGAATAATTGCAGGGACCATTTTTTAAGATTTCTTCTATGATAGTTCGAGCCGTAGAATCAGCCTTTGATGCTTGCATTAGGATAGACTGCCTACATTACACCGCATTGGGGTGCGGCCATTCCCTACACCCTGCACGAATGCGGGATGCTTCGTACACCGGGCTACCCTTTTTTATAGTTGCAGAAATTGGAAGGAAAATAAATGATCCTTCTTCATTTAAACCAACACACAAGTAGTTTGTAGAGTAGAAGGTAGCAATGTGATCCAATAAGTAATGTTCTTTTTATTTTTTAAATGAATACTGATGCACATTAATAATTTATACATCTTTATTAGTTACTTGAAAGAATGAACTAGCTAGAACTAGGCAAAGACTGAGTTACTGTTATTAAGGAGGCGATCTGATGAGAGGTTCAGATGAACCAGAGAAACTAGGACATTGCACTGCTGCTTTAGGATTTGATACTGATCCTTTTCCTAGATGATTAGGCTTCTCGAAATCTTCATTTTCGTGCCTAATTTCCGTTAGCATTGCCGCTACATCCTTCATTGTTGGTCTTTCATCCGGGCACGAATTAACACAAAGTAGTGCCACACCAAGAACTTGAAGCATCTCCTGAGTTTGTGTACCAGACCTTAAAAGTAATTGCTGATCAAGAATTGTTGTGAATTCCTTATGTTTTATTCTTAGCTCCTGATTTATCCAAGTAACAATGTGGGCACCTTCTGGTATCCGGGAATCGGTTGGTTCCATCCCTGTTAGGACCTCAAGAAGCACAATGCCGTAGCTATAGACATCACTCTTCTCAGTTACTCTTAGACTATATCCATATTCTGCAATGTAGGACCAAAATATTTAGAATGCTCTCCTAATTTAGTACTCATACCCAATTTATACCCATAATACGTCTAAAAAAGCTAATATTCAAGAGTACCAGCATAAAGATATATCTAATTAACCAATCTGTTATATTGAGATATTTAAATATATGACCTGTTGAAGAGATGAATGATGTTTTTGCGTGAAAATGTACTTACCAGGAGCTATATATCCATAGGAACCAGCTATTATGGTGGAAGCTCTTGAATTATCTGATGATGTATTTAAGAGCTTTGCAAGTCCAAAATCTGCAAGAAAAGCTTCAAACTGTGGACCAACCAAAATGTTATTGGCCTTGATATCGCGATGGACTATAGGAGGAATACAGTCATGGTGAAGATAAGCTAAACCCTGAGCTGCTCCTAGTATGATATTATACCTAGCATCCCAATCCAGAAATACCCTCTTCTCATGTAGCAGTCCTGCTAAACTCCCATTACTAATGTAATCAAACAAGAGCAATCTTGTTTTGCCATTATTACAGCATCCCAAAAGCCTCACTATGTTTTTGTGCCTGATTGATCCCAGTGTTCTAACTTCTGCAGAAAAAAAATCCCTCTGTGGAACCTCGCCAACCTTCTTAGGCAGTAGTTTCTTCACTGCGATCACCTGTCCTGATGGAGTTTCAACACGATAAACAAAACTGGAGCAACCCTTTCCAACAATGTTAGATTCACTAAGTCTTGGCACTACATCATTTACAGAGAAGCTAAGCTTTCGGAATGGGATAAATTCCCACTCCAAACCATTTTCTTCATCGTCTTTCTGGCATATCTCTCCTTGAGCTCGGATAAATATGGCAATACAAGCTGTCAAAATTAGCATGGCCATGAAAATGCTGAGTACAATAGCAATGGTGATCCTTCTTATGGATTTTAATCCATGATGATTTCCACTTAAATGACATGCATCTCTGTTCGTGCAGAGCTCTTGATTACCAATAAAAACACTGGTAGGAAGATCATGAAAGAATTTGGTGTTAGGAAGAACCCCAGAAAAGTTATTGTAAGAAACATTCAGAGAAACAAGGTTGTCAAGGTTACTGAGTACTCTAAGACTTCCTGTCAACATGTTATTAGAGATATCCATGCTGGCTAACTTGGAAAAATTTGAGAAACTTTCAGGAACCGGTCCTGTCAAAAAATTCCGACTTAAATTTAATAGAATATCTAGTCCTTGCAGGTGACCAATCTCCATAGGGATTAAGCCTGTGAGTCTGTTGCTGCTCAAATCCAACAGCTGCAAATCCTCACAAAGTCCAAGTGATTTGGGAACAATTCCATCTACGTTGTTTCCATTCAGTATGAGCTTGTTCAGTGATGTGAGTTTCCCTACATCTTCTGGAATCTTGCCTGATAATCTGTTCATGGAAAGATCTAACACATTAAGAGCAGTGAGAGACACAAAAGAGGAAGGAATTGTTCCTTGAAGCTTGTTTCCATGAAGATCAACCATTTCTAGCTGTCTACAGTTGCCAATAGCAGGTGGAATTGATCCAGTGAATTGATTTTCCGACAATTCAAGAAAACTCAAACTCGGTAGCTGGCCTATTTCTGGAGGAATTTGACCGTCGAGCCTGTTTGATCCGAGGCGTAATCTGGATAAACTTGTGCAATTTCCAATATCAGGTGGAATTCCACCAGATAGAACATTTGATATCAGCAGCAGCTTAGTTAAGTTCCTGAGATTGAATAAAGTTTTCGGAATTGATCCTGTAAGATAATTGTGAGAAAGATCCAAAGACTGAAGTTTCCAACAATCGGCCAGCTCAGTTGGTATGCTCCCGTGCAGTTGATTCTGCCATGCGAAAAACAGATTTAGTTCCTTTAGATTCCTAATGGTAGGTGGGATCACACCTGAAAAATTATTGTTGTCCAATTCAAGTTGCTTCAAGCTGGAAAAGTTGCCAATATAGTATGGGATTTCACCAGAAATGCTGTTATCTGATAATAGAAGCTCCTCCAATGTGCCTAAGTATTCGAAAGATGGAGGAATTTCTCCAGATAAATAGTTCAAAGAGAAATCAATAACTTTCAAACTTGAACAGTTTCCAAGATTTCCTGGAATTTCCCCTTTCAGGTTGTTCTGCCAAAGTAAAACTTTCTTAAGATTCTTCAGCAGACCAAGTTCACTGGGAATTTCCCCTGAGATT